TCCAGTCGTGGGGTCTGAACTCTGGGCCTGGGCGCTGTCCCTCAGCTCTTCAGCTCAAGGCTAGCACTCTACCACTTGAGCCACAGTGCCACTTCGGCTTTTTTTTTTCTGCTTATGTGGTGCTGAGGAATCGAACCCAGGGCCTCATGCATGCAAGGCAAGCGCTCTACCACTGAGCCGCCTTCCCAGCCCGGAGATATTAACCTTTTATCTGTTACAAGTTGAAATTATTTTTCCTAGTCTATTGATTGTCTTTTTAAACTTTTGTGGTGATTTTTTCCATTAAAATATTTTGACTAGGGTGTATACTGCTGATAGCTAGGTACTAGCCCAGTATACATGAGACCCTAGGTTCAATTTCCGGCCCACCAACAGCAACAACAAAAAAGACAAAGTGCTTATTTTATATAGTGAAAAATACCCACTTTTTCCTTTCTTTTCATTTGCAGGTAAAAGTTTCATTTGATCTGAACACTATTCAAATAAAATACTTGGATGAGGAAAATGAAGAGGTAAAAGTATATTATAGTCCCCTACTGGGTACTCAGAATCTTATTTCTCTAGTGATATGGAGTTTGAGAAATTCAGAATAGCATTTATCTAATTTATGCAGTGGTTTAACATATTTGGTAATTGCATGTTCTAGAAGACTGGTAGCATCTAAGGTAGAGGTGAGAAATAGAGAAGCAGTATGAAGAATATCTGAGAGAAGTTAAAATTATATGATGATTTTAAGTTCAGATAGAACAAAAGCTGTCATTTATAATAATAAAAAAAATAACGGCTACTCTCTATGTATTGGTTTTAGTGTGTCAAACTAACAACAGTATTATGGGGGGGTTCTTTGTTTCTATTTTTTGTCGGTCCTGAGGCTTGAACTCTGGGCTTAGGTGCTGTCCCTCAGCTCTTCAGCTAAAGTAAGCACTCTACCACTTGAGCCACAGCACCACTTCCAGTTTTCTGGTGATTAATTGAAGATAAGTCTCACACACTTTTCTGCCCAGGCTGGCTTTGAACTGTTGTCCTTATATCTCATCCTTCTGAGTAGCTAGGATTATAGGCGTGAGCCACCAGTGCCTGGCTTAATACTACATTTGAGGTACATTCTCTATTTTTCCAAGAGGGAACTGAGGCACCGAAAGTTTGCATAGCTTACATCAAGGCTCAGAAGCTTGGAATTAGTTGAGTTGGTTCTCTGGCTCTGTGAATAGGTTCCTTATTATATTATGCTGCCTGTTAATATACCCAAAATAAGAGTAAGCAATAAAAATTATTCATATTGATACTGGTAGCTCACATCTATAATCTTAGCTACTCAGGAGGCTGAAATCTGAGCATCAAAGTTCAAACCCAGCCCAGGTAGGAAAGTCCATGAGATTCTTATCTCAACCACCAAAAAGCTGTGTTTCAAGTGATAGAATACTAGCCTTGAGCAAAAAGATCATGGACAGTGCCCAGGTCCTGAGTCAAGCATGTGGACTAGCACTAAATAAATAAAAAGCCGGGCACCAGTGGCTCACACCTGTAATCCTAGCTACTCAAGAGGCTGAGATCTGAGGATCATGCTTCAAAGCCAGCCTGGGCAGGAAAGACCATGAAACTCCTATCTCTAATAAACCACTAGAAAACCGGAAGTGGCCCTGTAGCTCAAATGGTGGAGCCAGCGCTCACCTTGAGCTGAAGAGCTGAGGGACAGTGCCCAGGCCCAGAGTTCAAGCCCCACGACCGACAAAAAATAAATAAAGCCAGGAGCTGGTGGGTGGTCAGGCCTGTAATCCTAGCTACTAAGGAGGCTGAGATCTGAGGATTGTGGTTCAAAGCCAGTCCAGACAGGAAAGTCCATGAGATTCTTATCTCCAATAAACTTCCAGAAAATCAGAAGTAGCACTGTGGCTCAAATGGAAGAGCTCTTGCCTTGAGCTGAAGAGCTGAGGGACAGTGCCAGGGCCAGAGTTCAAGCCCCATGACGGGGAGGGGAGGGGATGGAAGGGAAGAGGGGGGAGAGAGAGAGAAAAGAAAAAGAAAGAAGGAAGGAAAGAGAAAGAAAGAAAGGAAAGAAAGAAAGAAAATAATTCTTAGCAAGTGGTACTGGAAACGTTGAACCCCTACCTTGAGATTATCATATGAGACTTGTCTTGTTAACAAATACTAAAATGATAGGTGCTTGTAATTCACAGTTGCTTTTTTCTCTTTATAGGTATCCATCAACAGTCAAGGTGAGTCCCTGACAAAATCTATTTAGCTTTATATAAAATTTTGTCTGCTCACTGAGGCATTTCCATTTATACATGTTATTTTTTATATATAGGATGATGCTTTTGTGTATTATAAGGACAGCTTTAATGGAGGTTCTCTTGTATTTAAGGTGCAGATTCTCTATGCTTCCCAGTTTGTCACATATAATTTTTTCCCTTGGTATTGCATTTGTCTCTGACTAGGCATATGTGTTAATATCATCTTACAACTTTTAAACTTCATGTTCCCAAAGTTTACCTGTTGTTTTTTTCAGAGCTTTGAATACATTTTTCCACAGTGACCATGTTATATTTGAAGGTTATTTCCCAAGCTGGCCCCCAACAATAACCAACTGAAATAATATAGTGCTAATAACATACTACAATCCATGAGCAGGGCTCTGGTGGCTCATACCTGTAATCCTAGCTACTCAGGAGGCTGAGGTCTGAGAATTGTTGGAAACCAGCCATGCAGAATAGTCCAAGTGAGACTTTTATTTCCAATTAACCACTCAAAACCTGGAAATGGAACTGTAGCTGAATGTGGTGGAGCACTAGCCTTAAGCAAAAAGAGCTTAGGGACAATGCCAGACCCTGGGTTTAAGCCCATGACTGAAAGAAAAAATTTTTAATGTAAAAAAAAAAAGTCATAAACTGCCTTGAATCCTACTGTGAAGGAGCTGGGTTTGGTTTTGTAACTAAAAGACTAGAGTAGAAAAGAGAGACTTAAGGAGGGAGAAGTGATCTGCAGGGGGCTGAGTAGGGAGTTTGTCAGCAAAAAGGTAGTAGTTACTCATATATAATGATTGTGAACTAAGAATTAAATCAAGCTTGGCTATATTTCTTTTTTAAATAAATTTTAGTGTATACACTTAAGGTATAAGAAATCTTGCATTGGCCTGGCGACAAAAAAGAAAAAAGTGCTTGCACATATATAAAGATAGTACAATAGTTCCTGTAGTGGAATAAATTAAAGTATGTAGCATCTCACCTGGTTATCCATCCCTCCACTCTACCTCTGTCCCCAAGACAAGGGCAGCTATAATCTTCTCCATTAGCAAAAATCCTGAGGACTACACACTATTATTAGCTATTGTTCTCGTGCTGTACATTAAAAGTGTAGGATTAACCAGGCATAGTGATGTAAGCCAAGGACATGGGAGCTGTAAATTTGAAGCTAGTTACAGAGCAAGATACTGTCTAGAAACCAAACAAACTACCTGTAGAATTACGATTTATTTGCTAGAATGTTTACGACTCATGAAGAAATGTTACTGTGTATCTTTTTGCCCTTTTAGGAGAATATGAAGAAGCTCTTAAGGTAATTCTTATTTCATCTTATTTTCAACTAATTTAAAAATATTCCTTGGGAGTGGCGCTGTGACTCAAGTGGAAGAGCACTAGCCTTGAGCAAAAGGAGCTCGGGGACAGCACCAAGGCCCAGAGTTCAAGAACTAGGACTGGCAAAAAATATATAAATGAATTTTTAAAAATTCCTTGATTAAAACTTGAATTTTTTTAGAAATTAGGGAGACTGCAATAAGTTGAGCATATCACTCAGCAAAAGATTCTTCTAAGCCAGGTATCCATGGCTCATACCTGTACTACTAGCTACTCAGGAGGCTAAGATCTGATGATTGCAGTTTAAAGCCAGCCCAGGCAGGAAAGTCCGAACACTCTTATCTCAAATTAACCACAAGAAAACTGGTGGTAGCAGCCGGGCGCTGGTGGCTCACGCCTGTAATCCTAGCTACTCAGGAGGCTGAGATCTGAGGATCGCAATTCAAAGCCAGCCCGGGCAGGAGAGACCGTGAGACTCCTATCTCCAATAAACCACCAGAAAACCGGAAGTGGCGCTGTAGCTCAAGTGGTAGAGCGCTAGCCTTGAGCTGAAGAGCTGAGGGACAGCGCCCAGGCCCAGAGTTCAAGCCCCACAACCGACAAAAAAACAAACTACCATTTGGAAGGCTAATGTGGGGCCTCTCCATTTGAGGCCAAAATGGGCAGTACAGGGAAACCCTGTCTCAAAACACAGAAATATTAACACAGTTAATGCAAAATCTTACCTAAAACTTGCTACACTAAAAACCTAAATTTGGGCTGGGAAGGTGGCTCGGTGGTAGAGTGCTTGCCTTGCATGCTTGATGCCCTGGATTCCCTTCCTCAGTACCACATAAGCAGAAAAAAAAGCCGGAAGTGGCACTGTGGCTCAAGTGGTAGAATGCTAGCCTTGAGCTGAAGAGCTGAGGCACAGTGTGCCCAGGCCCAGAGTTCAGGCCCCACGACCGGACCACCCCCCCCCAAAAAAAAAAAAAAACAACTAAATTTAAGGCAGGTGCTAGTGGCTCACACCTGTTATCCTAGCTATTCGGAAAGTTCAGATCTGAGGATCCCAGTTCAAAGCCAACCCAGGCAGGAAAGTCCATGAGACTCTTTATTTTCAATAAACTACTCAAAAAAGCCAGAAGTGGGGGCTTGGAAGGTGGCTCAGTGGTAGAGTGCTTGCCTCATATGCATGAGGCCTTGGGTTTGATTCCTCAGCACCTCATGAGCAGAAAAGGCCAGAAGTGGTACTGTGGCTCAAGTGATAGAGCACTAGCCTTAAGCTGAAGAGCTAAGATATCTTAGCAGCTGGGTGCTGATGGCTCACACCTGTAATCTTCCCTACTCAGGAGGCTGAGATCTAAGGATTGTGGTTTAAAGCCAGCCCAGGCAGGAATGTCCATGAGACTCTTATCTCCAATTAGCCTCCAGAAAACCTGGAAGTGGTGCTGTGACTCAGAGGTAGAACACTAGCCTTGGACCAAAGAGTTCAGGGACAGCATCCAGGCCCTGAGTTGAAGCCCCATGGCCAACCTCAATATATATTGGAAATGGAACCCAAGACTAAATTTGAAATTAATTTGGGTTTCATATACACCTTATACACATAGTCTAGATGTAATTTTTTGGGTGTTTTTTTTTTTTTTTGGTCTTTTTTGGTACTGGGAATCAGACCCAAGATGTTGTACTTGCTAGGAAAGCCCTTTGCCTGGAGCTACATCCCAGCCCTTACAGTTTTTTTTATTTTATTTATTTTATTTTTTTCTTTCCGGTCATGGGGCCTGAACTCTGGGTCTGGGTGCTGTCCCTCAGCTCTTCAGCTCAAGGCTAGCACTCTACCACTGGAGCCACAGCACACTTCTGGCTTTTTCTGTTTATGTGGTGCTGAGGAATCGAACCCAGGGCCTCATGCTCGCAAGGCATGCACTCTACCACTGAGCTACCTTCCCAGCCCCTACAGTTTTTTTTTTTTTAATACACCATTGTTTTGGTTGCAGTATGGCTTATAAGACCAGCTGTAGAATTTTCCATTTTTGCATCATGTCAGTGCCTCCAGTACTTTGATTTTGTAGGATTTCACAATAGGTACACTCAACTTATATTTTTTAATATTGCAAGCAAAAATTATAGCATAATTCACTGCACTTTTCTATTACTGTGCTTCAAAGTCCATTTGGAAAGGAGAATCACACAGTATGTGTTTGTTTTGTAACATATGCTCTCAGATGGCAGTTAAGCAGGGAAACCAACTGCAGATGCAAGTCTATGAAGGGCACCATATTGTTGATGAAGCCCCACTTCCAGTTGTTGCAGAAAAACGGACAGTTGCCAGGCCAGGGAAGAAGCCACTTGCACATTATTCTTCACTAGTGAGAGTTTTGGGATCAGAGATGAAGACTCCAGAGGAGCCAACAGTACAGGTATGTCCAGTTCTCTAACCTTTTGTCTCGTTGTCCTTAATAGAAAATTTGAGTATGCACCAAAGATTTGGGAGTTACTGTGACCATTTTCCTATAATATTTTGAAACAGGTAGCTATGGTTTATTTCTAGAGATAGAGCAGCATAGTAGAATACATACTTCGTTTTATTTTTCTGTTCCTTCACACTGTGACTGTTAAAACCATATGTTTATATAATTTGGCAACAGAAATCTCAAAATAATACATTTCAGAAAAATTGTTAAAAATAAGCAAAATAACTTCCAGGAATCTTGGATTCTGTTTTCTTGTAGTCATTTCCACTTGCTCCTTGTGACAGAAACCAGCCTCAAGATAAACCCCCAGACTGGTTCACCAGCTATCTGGAAACAGTGAGTATTCTCTCTGATTTGGCTTCTAATAGCATTGTTGGCACCAGTGGAATGTGGCAGAAATGGGAAGTCGAATATAGATAGTTGTTACCTCTGCTACAGATGAATGAGGAATGATAGCTAGTAATTTCTAGACTCAGAGTAGATATGGTTAAGAAAGCTCTAACTTGGGCTGGGAAGGTGGCTCAGTGGTAGAGCATGCATGAGGCCCTGGGTTCGATTCCTCAACACCACATAAACAAGAAGAAAAAAGCCAGAAGTGGCACTGTGGCTCAAGTGGTAGAGCGCTAGCCTTGAGCTGAAGAGCTGAGGGACAGTACCCAGGCCCAGAGCTCAGGCCCCACGACTGGACCAAAAAAACAAACAAAAACAAAAAAGAAAGCTCTAACTTTTGTCCTTGTATGTATGTATGTATGTATGTATGTATGTATGATGTATGTATGTATTTAGTCAGTTGTAGGAGTCTCACAGCCTTTCCTGCCTGGGCTAACTTCAAACTGTGATCCTCAAATCTCAGCCTCCTGAGTAGCTAGGATTATAGGCATGTGCCACAGGTGCCCAGCCCTCAAATTTTTTTGTATTAGTCCTGGGGCTTGAACTCAGGGCCTGAGCTCTGAGCTTTGGTGCTCAAGATTAGTGCTCTACCACTTAAGCCACATGTCTACTTCCAGCTTTCTGGTGGTTACTTGGAAATGAGTCTCATGAACTTTCTTTTTTTTTTTTTGGGTCCAGTAGTGGGGCCTGAACTCGGCCTGGGCGCTGTCCCTCAGCTCTTCAGCTCAAGGCTAGCGCTCTACCACTTGAGCCACAGCGCCACCTCCAGCTTTTTTTTTTCTTTTTGCTTATGTGGTGCTGAGGAATTGAACCCAGGGCCTTGAGCATGCAAGGCAAGCACCACTGAGCCACCTTCCTACCCCCAATATATTTTTTTGTTCTTTTTTTTTTTGTCGGTCATGGGGCTTGAACTTTGGGCCTGGGCGCTGTCCTTCAGCTCTTCAGCCCAAGGCTCTACCACTTGAGCCATGGCACCATCTCCAGCTTTTTCTGCTTATGTGGTGCTGAGGAATCGAACCCAGGGCCTCATGCATGCAAGGCAAGCACTCTTAACACTAAGCCACTTTCCCAGTCCTCTCATGGACTTTCTTGCCTGAGCAAGCTTTAAACAGAACCTGGCTCTTTACTTAAATAGTAAAATGTCTGACAGGAGGTATTGCTCGAGAGGTAGAGCCTCAGCCTTGAGAAAAAAAAGCTGAGGTAGATTCCAAGTCTTTGAATTTAAACCCTGGTACTGGCACACACAGAAAAAGAAGAAATCTACTCAGCAAAAGGATTTCTTGGTATTTTCTTTTCTTTTCTTTTTTTTTCCAGTCATGGGGCTTGAACTCTTAGCCTGGGTGCTGTCCTTGTGTTCTTCAGCTCAAGGCAAGCACTCTATCCCTTAAGACACAGCACCACTTGTGGTTTTCTGGTGGTTAATTGGAGATAAGAGTCTCATGCACTTTCCTGCCCAGGCTGACTTTGAACCATGATGTTTAAGTCTCAGCCTCTTGAGTAGCTAGGATCACAGGCATGAGCCACCAGTGCCCAACATGGTATTTTCTTTGAACTAAGTGAGCGATGGAAGATTATAGACTTTTTGTTATGTTTGTGTTTATTCATTCAATAGCTACTAATTGTTTATTATTATAGTTATACCAGAGATGTGTGATTTCCAGTATGTTGATATCTTCACAGAATTGTTAACTAAATTCCCCCCCCATCTTCTCTCTTTTCTAGTTCAGAGAGCAAGTGGTTAAAGAAACAGTTGAGAAGCTTGAACAGAAATTACATGAGAAGCTTGTCCTCCAAAACCCACCATTGGGTTCCTGTACCTCAGAAGGCTCAATGCCTGTTTCAGAGGAAACCCTGTTTTTTCCAGAAAATCAGTTCAGCTGGTATATTGCTTGCAGCAACTGCCAAAGAAGGATTGTTGGTGTGCGCTACCAGTGTAGGTAAGCAGTCACTTGGGAATAATCAGGTGCTGGTAAGCCTTAGGGGAGAGACTTCTTAGAATTCTATATAGTTAAAGGGAAACTGGGTGTCTTCTGTCTCTGGAACCTTAGATATCTTAACTCTGAGTTGGAATCACAAGCTGTTCTTCACCTCTGTGTTTTAATAGGTTAAAGAATACCATTCTGATTGCTATGTTTACATACACATTTGTATCAACCGAAGCAAGTAAAGCTGTGTTCCCCAAGACAAAATTAGAACACTAAGGACAGTTTACATTTTGTTACAAATGCTCTCATTTCTTGCTTCCCCCCATAGATTGTCCCACAAAAAAATAGACATAAATTAATTTCATTATCCTTACTTTATTAATGAGGATTATCAAGATTTGGCATTACTAGGTGACAGGCATAGTTTACCATCTAGCTGGTAATGGAGTAAATACAGCAGTGGACTTTTACCTCACTGCCTCAAGTGACATTCTTATCATACCATTCTTTACCACAGCCTGTGCCCATCCTACAACATTTGTGAAGATTGTGAGGCAGGACCATATGCCCATGACACTAACCATGTCCTGCTGAAGTTACGGAAGCCCATTGTGAGTTCTTCTGAATCATTTTCTCATTCAAAGTACTCTACTCCTCGACTCCCTGCTGCTCTGGAACAAGTCAGGTAAAACCATATACTTGGTGTCCTTGTTCTCTAATTGTCTTCTTAGTTCTGATGACACAAAATGCTGAAGATCAAAAAACTCCTATAAGGTCAGGAATAGTGACTCAAGCTGTAATCTCAGCATTTCAGATGCTAAAACAAGAAGACAGAGTTTGAGGCCTCCCAGATAACATGAGACTCTGTTTCAAGCCCCAGAACTGGCAAAAAAAAAAAAAAAAAAAGTAACAGAGCCAGGCAACTGTAGCTCATGTCTGTAATCCTAGCTACTCAGGAAGCTGAATTTTCAGGATCACAGTTTGAAGCCAGCCTAGGCAGGAAAGTCTGTGAGACTCTTCCCCATTTAACCACTGAAGGCCAGAAGTAGAACTGTGGCTCAAATGGTAGAGTATTTTAGTGCTAAAAACAAAACAAAACCAAAAACCCTGATGATGATATCTAGTTATCACATTATTAGTTACCACTCATTATTTCTGTTTCTTTTCAATTGATGTGCAATAATGAAGGCAGTTATCTAATCAAGTGGCAATGATAATTATAAGGGAAATTAAGCAGCTGCGTCCTGGTAGCTCATGCCTGTAATCCTAGCCACTCAGGAGACAGATCAGAGGATCTGATTGAAGCCCAGCCTGTGAAGATAAATCCAAGAGCTTGTTATCACCAGTTAAGCAGAAGAAAGCTGAAGGTAGAGGTGTAGATTGAGTGGTAGAACGTCAACCTTGAGCCAAAAAAAAAAGAGAAGCTTTTGCTCTTAGAGATCCCTTTGTATCTGGAAAAAAAAAAAATCAAGCAAGAATGAATGGCCTTGATCAAGCCCCACTGCAGAACAGATGTTCAACTGTTGATGGGATTGGGATCAGAAGTTTTGATGTTTCTAGGTCTTTGTGACTAGGAGGAACCCTTTACCTGCTTTACCTACCTTTACCTGCTACATGAGTATCGCTGAAACCAGAAGTGTGTGTCACAGCTTTCTGAAGTTGTGTATAAATTGTTGCTTCCAGTATTACAAACAGATGCACCCTAGCAGTGATACCACATGTATGATACTGTGTGATTATTTTGCAGATTGCTGGCACTTGTCTTGCATTGTTTCTATCAAGTGATTTGAATCATTATCAGTGGTCACAGAGGTTTCCACTGGGAAGGAAAGCTTTTAAGCAAGTAAACTAAATGCTGACACTGATGGAAACTATCTAAAAAACTTCAGGATTGGGTCTAGGAAGATGGCTCAGTGGTAGAGGGTTTGCCTTGCATACATGAGGCCCTGGGTTCAATAATTCTTCAGCACCACATAAGCAGAAAAAAATCAGAAGTGGTGCTGTGGTTCAAGTGATAGAGCATTAGCCTTGAGCTGAAGAGTTGAGGGAGAATGTCCAGGCCCAGAGTTCAAGCCCAATGACCAACAAAAAAAAAAAGAAAGGAAGGAAGGAAGGATGTCTAAGGCCTGAGGTCTGGTTTCTGATGTAGCAGTCAGCTCAGAAATTTAGCAGACAGAGAATGTATTGAATGCCTTCAGGATTTTTTAATGGGTTCAGATGTTTTGGGTTAAATTTGGGTTGGGTTTTATTTGGTTTTAAGACATTCAATTATTACCTCACAGGCTCCAGAAACAGGTTGATAAGAACTTTCTTAAAGCAGAAAAGCAAAGGTTACGAGCTGAGAAGAAACAGAGGAAAGCTGAAGTCAAAGAACTTAAAAAGCAGCTAAAACTCCACAGGAAGATTCATCTGTGGAATTCAATTCATGGACTCCAAAGCCCTAAGTCCCCTTTGGGCCGACCTGAGAGCTTGTTGCAGTCCAATACCCTGATGTAAGCCCAGAGCTGGGTAGGGGGTGGAGGGAACCCAGGCTTTATGTTCAGCTCCCTAAAACTGGAATTTTAGCCATCTTCTCTCTTGTCCTTTGGCAGCTCCTAGTACCCACATCTTTAAAACTTTCTATTAATCTAAGCTTTATTAAAGGATGGTTTGGTAGTAGTTTTTGATATTTTCCTTGTTGTCTTCTTCAGAAAGATAAAAACTAGTAAGGGCTGTGTACTGGTAGTTCATGCCTATTATTCTATCTACTTAAGTGCAATCTGAGGATCTCAGTTTGCAGCCAGCCTGTACATAAGACTCTTATCTCCAATTAACCACTGAAAAGCTAGAAGTAGAACTGTGGCTCAAGTGATAGAGTGCTAGCCTTGAATGAAAAAGCCAAGCAAGAGCATGAAGCCCTGAGTGTAAGCCCCTGTCCTGGTACCAAAAAGAAAAAGGAAAAAAAAAAAAATGAAACAAGGTTCACTCTTAGAGAAAGTGAATTTGAAGCAACAGTTGCAAATAAGAGTTACATTTTTTTTGGGGGGGGGTGTCCGGTCGTGGGGCCTGAACTCTGGGCCTGGGCGCTGTCCCTCAGCTCTTCAGCTCAAGGCTAGCGCTCTACCACTTGAGCCACAGCGCCACTTCCGG